ATAATAATAATAATAATAATAATAATAATAATAATAATAATAATAATAATAATAATAATAATTATTATTATTATTATTTTTGAGACAGGGTTTTTCTGTGTAACCTTGGCTGTCCTGGACTCGCTTTGTAGACCAGGCTGGCCTCAAACTCAGTGATCTGTCTGCCTCTGCTTCTCCGAGTGCTGGGATTACAGGCATGTGCCACTGTGCCTGCCTGAGAATATAATTTTTAAAAGCCAGATTGATTCTTGATTTCAGTATTATAACCATTACATGTTGAGATACTGTGGGTCAGCATACCAAAGATGCTTAATAGCGCATCATGGGGAATCTGAAAGGAATGAGTTTGAGCTTTTTTGCTTTCAGAGTGTGGTTAGTTGGGAGAAGGTGAGGATATCGTGTTACATGTTTGTCTCTCTTGCAGGTCGAACTATGTTTAGAGTGCATCGAATGGGCCAAATCAGAGAAAAGAACTTTCTTACGCCAAGCATTGGAGGTAGGTGCCCACCTTAGCATTGGCTTCAGATCTGTAGCATTACATAAGCTCTGACTAAGTAGTACTGCCCTGGCAGAGCATCTTTAGCAGCTTTTTATCACCCTGTTACCTGAAGATCATTGCTTCCAGATATGGGAATGTTCCTGGTAGAAGTATTTAGTTTTTGTTTGTTTGTTTGTTTGTTTGATTGATTGTTTTTAAGTAACATCATCTTATTCCACAGCTCAGGATGGCTTCAGACCTTTGGCAAACTTTTTGTCATAGTCTCCTAAATTCTGGGTTTATAGATGTGAGCCACTATGCCTGGTGGCTTTTGTTTAAATTATTTTGATTTCTTCTTGAAGTTTTGAGCTACTCTTTCTGTTTGAGTATAGAAAATAAGATTCAGTATGGTATAGTTAACAGACATTTGGCCATAGTAAGAAACAGTATTGGGGCCTAGTTCAATTGTTACATTGAACTTGATGTTATCATCAGAACATGCACACAACAGTAACTGTTTTGTGGCTATCAATCTTTGATTTCTTTCTGTGGCTTTTCCCCTTGTTCCCTTCAATCAATGCCTTTTCTCTTTTCTAGGCAAGGCTGGTGTCTTTGTATTTTGATACCAAGAGGTACCAGGAAGCATTACATTTGGGTAAGTAAACTGGAAGAAATCAAAATAAAACATCTCAGCTAGCTAAGTGAGTGCATTCCAAACTTGGTTACTTGGTTATTTTTTTTCCCCCTCCCAAGACAGGGTTTCTCTGTGTAGCCTTGGCTGTCCTTACTCTGTATACCAGACTGGCTTCAAACTCACAGAGCTCCACCTGCCTCTGCTTCCCCTGAGTGCTAGGATTATGGGCATGCCCCACCGCACTCAGCTCAAACTTGGTAATTTTAAAATTTTGTTTCATTTATTAACTTGGTTATTCTTACTGATTGTTAATAATCATATTTTACCTGTTTATAAAAAGTACTTCAGGTAGTGTACATTTATAGAATTTGTCACAGTAAAGTTCTGTTTCAGAGTTCTGAAAAATTGGGTTAGAAGTGTAGCTCAGTGTTTGGTGTTTACCTAGCAGCACTGGGATGGACAGCTGGGCTTAGTCTTAATTTTATAGATCAGACATTAGCTTTAAGCTTTAAATTTAGAGTAGTAAAAGACATTTTATTGAAATGGTAGCTGAGGTTTTTCTTTTTTTTAAAGTTTATTTTATATATAATATATGGTTAAATTTCACATTTTTTTTAAAGTTACAAGTATTTAAGGTTACTATAAAGCTATATATTTTTAATATTTATCTTTATGTGTATTTGTCTCTGTGAGCATTTGCACATCTGTGCATACTCATGGAAGCCAGAAAGTGGCCTGAAGCTGGAGCTGTGGGCTGCCCGATATGAAAACTGAACTCGGGTCCCTGGAAGAGCACTGTATACCCCTTAAGTGTTGAGCCATCTCTCCACCCCCTATATTACTGTTTGTAATATACTTAAAATTTCTTTGGGGCCACTGAGGAGGAGAATGCATGTACATACACAGCACAGTATGCACATGGAGGTCAGAAGACAATTTCAGGGAGTTGGTTCTCACCTCCTATTTGGTGGATCCTGAACTGAACTCAGGCTTGGTGAGAGGCCATCTTGTTGTCACGTGGATTCTCTTTTAAAATTTAACTTTTAAAATTTAAAACTTGTACTGGGCATGCCTAATATCTTAGCAGGTTGGAAGATCAGTTCAAGGTCAGCTTAGTTAAAACTAGTTTAAGGCCACATTCTATGAAACTCAGTTAGACGTCCACAAGTAGGGTTGTCCTCAGTTGGTAAAATGTTTGCTGTGCATACACAAGGATCTAAGTTTGATTCCCAGAACTCAACTGCAATCCCATGTTTTGGAGGCAGGCAGAAACAGAACCCCTGAGGCTTCCTGGCCAGTCAGCCTGTCCTAACCTATGAGCCAGCCCAGAGTCTCAAGAAAGCTAGGTGTATAGCTCCGAAGAGTACCTGAAATTAGTGGTGGGAGGTTGTATAACTTAGTGAATATTCTGAAACAAACAACCCACTGAATTACATAACTTTTATAAGGTGAGTTCTGGTGACTGGGGAGAAATTTGAGGAGCTGCATTTGATCCCCAGAACCTATGTAAAAAACCAGGTGTGGTGACACATACTTCTGATTCCAGTTCTGCAAGGGAAGGACAGGATCCACAAGGAGGAAAGAGAATTGACTCCCACAAGTTGACCTGATTTCCACGTACCTACTGTATATATTAACACACTGAGGTCATGAAACTGAATGCTAATATCTTTGGAAGCTGATTGTTTCTTATTTTAATGTTTTTATTAGCATATGTTGATTATATATAGTGAGTTTCATTATAACATTTTCATAGAGGTACATAATGTCTGTCAGTCATACTCACTTTCTCCTGTTATTCTTTCCCACTAATGGTAATCTCTCTCCTTGTCCCACTTAGCTTCCCTTCTACTCTTATGTTTTCTTGCTTTGTAACCCAGTGCTTTTCATTAAAGGCATTGTTAGACTCATGGATGAGAGTTTGTTTTCAGGACTGTGAGCACCTCACCAGTAGGTACACCATTGCAGAAAATGTTTCATGATCTTTAAATACCCTAGAAATCTCCTATTGCTGCTTTTGCATTTATTTTATAGTACACATATGAGTGTTTAGCCTGCTTGCCTGCCTGCCTGCGTGTGTGTGTGTGTGTGTGTGTGTGTACGTGCGTGCATGCGTGCGCCTGTGAGTGATGTAAGGCACCATGTGAACACTGGGAACTGAGCCTGGGATCTCTCTGCAAGAACAGCAAGTGCTCTTAACCACTTAACCATCATCTCACTTTTTTTGAGACAGATTTTCATAAGTTCAGGTTTCTCCTGCTTTAGCCTTCCTGCTGGGATTACAGGCATGTGGTACTATGCCTGCTTCCACTTCTTCTTTATAAATAATATAAATATAAATAATATATTATAATAATATAATGTTATTTACATAATATATAATAATATAAATAAATATAAATTTATAAATAAGATCCCATTTCCCTTATGATTTAGTTGGTTGAAAATTGCAGAGAACCATGGATTTGGTTTGGTCTAGCTGCCTTGAGAAGCCTGCATCATAGGTTTTTCAAGTATTCACATCAACTTTCATCACCATTCAATTGCCCAGACATAATATATCTCCAAAGGACTGTGACTTCAAATTTTTTTTAAAGGAACCCCACAATGTTCTGTAGTGGTAAGGCCATTCTTGTCCGAATTTTAAGAATTTAAGGTGTTGCTGGGCAGTGATGGCATGCGCCTTTAATCTCTGGAGGATCTCTGTGAGTTCAAGGCCAGCCTGGTCTACAGAGAGAGTTCAGGATAGCCAAGAATACACAGAGAAACCCTGTCTCAATAAAACAAAGCAAAACAAAACCGAAATTAAAAAAAAAAAATTAAGGTGTATATAATAGAAGATAAACATTGTGAGGATTAGTGAGACTACCCTTTTTCCCTCCTTTATTTTTAGGTTGTCCATTAGGTTTTTTTTATTTGAGACAGGGTTTCTCTGTGTAGCCTTGGCTGTCCTGGAACTCTCTCTGTGGATCAGCCTAGCCTCGAACTCACAGAGATCGCCTGCCTCTGCCTCCTAAGTACTGGGATTATAGGCCTGCACCACCACCCCTTGTCCATTAGCACTTTTTACAAAAGATGATTCCTGAAGGTTATAAGGAATGTTTGTGATGTGGGTTATATCAAACTGTTGGCAAAAGGCTTGTGTGTATGTAGGAGCATTGTTAGTTTTAAAATATTTCACAGGGGCATAAAATAATAAAAGCCAGTGCTAAGTCATTTAAAGTGTTTAACAAAAATTTCAGTTTTTTTTTTTTTTAAATGAGGTATACAAGTTTGACTGTTTCTTATTATTTGTTTCTTTTTCCTTGTTGAATGATTGCCAATAGTTGCAGCATTGCCTGTCTTTGGAGGGCAGTGGCCAGAGTTAACCTTTCAGTATATAAAGGCATTTGCGTGTATCAGCATAAGATGCATATAATCATTAATATCTCTTTTTTTAAAAAAAGAACATTTGGCAATCAGGCATGTAGCATTAGCATTTTTATATGCCAGTTGTTAAGCAGTAATTATTTCTGCTTTCCACCAGCTATTAGGTGATTGACCACCTGTAAAAGATGGGAAACAAAATCTTGGTATGGCTCATTAGGCTCCTGTCTAATTTATAAAGTTACTCTGTGTTTTTTCCAGAATTTGGAAACAAAACAAAACCGAAACATACTATGCCTATAAAGTCAAAGCATTGATTTATCCGTAAACCTCAGGAGCACACCTGTAGGAGTCTGCAATCACTTACTGGTCCAAAGTTATCTGATGTGGCCCTCAAGGAATTAACCCAGACCGTTTGGAGGAGCCATGACACAACTGAGGCTGTGACAATTTTGAGAGCAATCAGACTTTTTATAAACAATATAATGGCAATTGCCAGGATCAGTACACTTATAGTACCAGGATACAATGATGTTTGCAAGCTATACAGGGCATACAAGATTTACATCTAAGACCAGTTGTCCTGTCAAGTTTCCATGCTTCCTTGATTACTAAGGGGACATACAGAGAAACACAAAGCGGCCTAAATGTTTCACTTCCTGAGAAACTGAAAGGCACATTTTGTCCCAGGAGCCATGAACTCTAACCTGAAAAGCGTATGATGCGTGCCTCTCAAGGCAGCTAGGCCAAGCCAACTCCGTGGCCCCCTGCAGAAAATATTGCCAGTATTTGGTGTTTATCTTACAAAAATGACAAGCCCATTCATTATGTATATTTTTTGAAAAAAGATTTTATTATTTATACAGTGTTCTGTCTGCATGTATGTACACCTGCTTGCCAGAATAGGGCACCAGAGCTCATTATAGACGTTTGTGAGCTACCATGTGGTTTCTGGGAATTGAACTCAGGACATTTGGGAGAGCAGCTGGTGCTCTTAACCTCTGAGCCATCTCTCCAACCCATATGTATGTTTTCTGACAAGGTTTCTCTGGTTGGTCGTGGCTGTCCTGCAATTCCCTATGTAGACCAAACTGGCCTCAGACTCAAGAGTTCAGCCTTCCAAATGCTGGAGTTAAAGATGTGTGCCACTACGTGGCTTATTTATTTATTTATTTATTTATTTATTTATTTATTTATTTATTTATTTGTTTGTTCACTTGTTTATTTTTGAGATAGGACCTTTTTGTATAGCCCTGACTATGTTAGAACTCCTTCTGTAGACCAGGCTGGGCTCCTGTCTCTCTCAAGTGCTAGGATTAAAGGTATGTGCCATTACGTCCAGCCAACAACAATTTCATATGTTTTAAGGAGATAGTAGCTTCACAAAAAAGCTAGTTTTATTGAGACAAAATTTAGATTCATAACATTCATCTCTCTCTCTCTCTCTCTCTCTCTCTCTCTCTCTGTGTATGTCTATATCTATGTGTATGTATTATTTCTCAGGAGTGTCCCATCTTTTTTATGGAGACAAAGTCTCATGGAGCCCTACCTTTGTGTAGAATAGGCTGGCCTCAGCTGGCTGTGATAGCACATACCTTTAATCCCAGCACTTGGGAGGCAGGAGGCTGAGGCAGGCTGATCTTTGTGCTTTCCAGGACAGCCAAGTCTACACAGAGAAACCCTGTCTCAAAACAAAAAACTAACAAACAAACAAACAAACAAAAATAGGTTAACTTCAACTCACAAGATCCACCTCTGCCTCTGTCTCTGCCTCCTGAATGCTAGAACTAAAGGTGTGTGGTGCCATGTGTGGCTTCACTTTGTTTTTGAGACAGGCACTTAGGGATCCTTGGTTGGCTAAGGAGTTGCTGGGGGCCTTGATTTTTATAAGGGTTCTGGGGTTGAACTAAAGTTCTCAACTTTGTGTGACAAGTACTTTGTAGACTGAGTTATTCTCCCACCCCCTAAAATTCACCTTTCAAAGTTAAATAATTCAGTGAATTTATTTTATTTTTTGTTTGATTATTTTTCGAGTCAGGGTTTTTCTGTGTAGTCTTGGCTGTCCTTGACTTGCTTTGTAGACTAGGCTGTCCTCGAAATCAAAATAGATCCACCACAGTGTGCCACCTCACCCACTGGCTCTTTTTTTTTTTTTTTTAAGTATATTTACTAAGTTGTTCAGTGAATACTGTTAATTTCAGGACATTACTATCACTTCAGAAAGAAGCAATCAGCAGTTACTTCTCATTAAATTTTTCATTCCTCACACCATTTTCTAAGCCCTAGGCAACTACTGTTTGCTTTCTGTACAGATCTTTGAGGACAGCTCATATGAATGGAGTCATATAGTATGTGGTTGTCTTTTGCTTAGAATAATGTTCTCAATACTGTCATGTGTCAATACTTCATTATTGCTAAATAATTGTCCATTGGATGTATCGTGCATCTGCGCGTGTGTGTGTATACATATTGGTTTGCATGTGTGAGGAGCTCAGAGGTTGATGCTGGTTGTCTTCCTCAGTTGTTCACCTTAATTTTTGAGACAGGGTCTGTCAATGAGTGTGGTGGTTCGTGGATTGGATAGACTTGATGGCCAGTGAGTCCCAGAGTTTCTTTTACCTCATTTTCCAGTAACCGATTACTTGGGTGCTGAGAATCAAAACTCATTTTTGTGGAAACACTTTACTAACCTTGCGTTTTCCCCAGTCTATGGCTAGGGCCTGTTCATCACTTGATAGAATTTTGTACCCTTTCCCTTTTTGTTACTGGAATACTGCTGTACCCTACTCTTATTTTGAGTTCAGGCCTAGAAATGATGTTACTGGGTCAAGTGCTAGCTATAATTTTTTTTTCTTTTTTAAAAGATATTATTTATACAGTACTCTGCCTGTATGTATGCATACACACCAATAGAGGACACCAGATCTCATTATACATGGTTGTGAACCACCATGTGGTTGCTGGGAATTGAACTCAGGACCTTTGGAAGAACAGACAGTGCTCTTAACCTCTGAGCTATCTCTCCAGCCCCCTAGCTATAGTTTCTTGAAGAAGAACTGAGCTAAGCTGTTTCCCAAGTGGCAGAAACATCCTCCTCAATACTATCTTTTATTGTAGTTTTCTTAATGTAAACAAGTAGAATTTCTTTAGGTTTTTTTTTTTAAGGTTTAATTTTTATTTTAAAGATTTATTTATTATGTATACAATATTCTGCCTGATGTAACCTGCACACCAGAAGAGGGCACCAGATCTCATTATAGATGGTTGTGAGCTACCATGTGAGTTGAACTCACCTGCATATCTGTCTGTGTGACGGTGTCAGATTCCTTGGAACTGGAGTTACAGACGATTGTGAGCTGCCATGTGGGTTCTGGGAACCCGTGTCCTGGAAGAGCAGCCAGTTGAGCCATCTCTTCAGCACCTCCTTATACTTTTGATTTGCATTTCTTTAATGATGCATGATGTGGAACATCTTTACATGAGAAGTATCTGTAGATACTGTGCATATTTTTAATTGAGTTTTTTGTATGTGTATTAATTGGTTTTTATATATTTACTCTTTGGAGGATAACAGGATCTTGTAGCCTTGGCTAGTCTTAACTCATGGCACTCCTGCTTAAATCTCAGGAATGCTGGGGTAATAGGCCTGAGCCACAAACCCAACAATGTATTTTTCCTTAATTTTTTTAATCATAATTTTTTACATTTATTTATTGGTTTATTTATGTATGTATGTGAGTTCATATGTGTGGCATCTGTGTGGGTGAATTTGTGGAGGTTAGAAGATAACCCAAGGAGATCAGTTCTTTCCTGCCGTGTGCTTTCTGGGATTGGACTCAGATGGCAGGCTTGCAGGCAAGTGTCTACCAGTTGCACAATCTTGTTTTGTTTGTTTGTTTGTTTGTTTGTTTTTTGAGACAGAGTTTCTCTGTGTAGCCCTGGCTGTTGTGGAAATTGCTCTGTAGACCAGAGTAGCCTTGAACTCAGGAATCTACCTGCCTCTGCCTCCTGAGTGCTGGAACTAAAGGTGAGCACTCCCACCACCCAGTTACAGGTTGAATCATCTTGCTGTTCCTGTTTTTTTTATTTTTTTATTCCCATCAATTAGCATTAGTAATTTGCAAATATTCAGTCCCATCAATTAGTATTGGTATTTGCAAATATTTTCACTTATTATTGTGACTTATTTCTTTTTCAGATGTTCTTATTTTACAGTACGGATTGGTCTTAATGTGTATGTGGTGTGTATGTGTGTGTGTGTGTATGTGTGTGTGTGTCTATGTCTGTATTCATATGTGTATGTGTTTTTGTTTGTGTGTGTTGGGGGTGGAGTTTGACACTGGGAATCTTCCTTGATTGCTTTGCACCTTATATTATATTCTAAGAGAGGATCTCTCACCTGAACCCAGAGCTTTGGATTCAGCCTGTCGAGCTATATAACTTGCTTTGTGAATTTCCTGTTTCTACCTACTGAGTCCTGGGGTTATAGGTATGAGCCCACATGCCTGATGAATGCTTTATTTATTTATTTATTTATTTATTTTTTAAGAAGTAACACAACAATTTAATCAGTTGAATTCTTGAATTTTTCCAATAAATAACCATGCAAAGGTTAAAAGATAAGGAAGGTAAATCAGGTAGGCCATACTAGGAGAAACTGTTAATAACTTTTCCATACTGAGTGTTTTAATTTTATTGAGGTGTCCTTTAAAGTAAGTTTCGTGCTGGCAAATGGCTCAGGAGGTAGAGGTGCTTGCACTCAGGCCCGAGGACCTGAGTTGGCATGATCCCATGAGGTGGCAGGTAAGAATTGACTGTTAGGAGTTCTTTAACTTCCACATGCTTGCTGTGGCATGACTGGGCTCGGGCCTATACATGTGGGTCCATTGGATAAAGTACATTTAAGTTATAATGACATCCTAGTTGTTAATTTTCTTTTGTTGCTTATCTTAGTAGTATAAAGTTAATATAAACTCTCCAGTTGTCTGTCTTTTCTTTTATACTGTGTAGCCTTGGGTGACCTGAAACTTAGAGATCTGTCTGCTTCTGTTACAGGTCTCTTAAGTGCTGTGGTTATAGTCATGCTTTACCATGTCTGCTTCCAGTGTTTCTTATACATTTGATTGCTGGATGGGAGAGATTCTCACTGTAACTCTTAGGTGTGAATGTATAGGACTCTTAGCTCCAATGTTGTGTTTAGAAAAATGCCTTCAAAGATACGTATTTTTCTTTTGAAAGTGCTTTAGAAGAAAATTTAATTTTTGCATGGACTGTAAAGATAAGCTGTATGAGTTTCAGAAGTTTTTTTTTTTTTTTTCCATTGCCATTATGAGTGAGATGTTATGGTATTTATGATATTAAGATTAAGCCTAACAAGGAAATCTACGAAAAAATGCCAGCTTCAAGGCTTGTGGTATAGGAGGATTGCTGGGGCTTGTTAGCTTCCAGCTTAGGTGAGAAAATGGGAGCCCCAGATTCAGGAAGAGACTTTGCCTCAAAGAAATAGGCAGAAAGTGAAAGAGGAGAATGCCTGATGTCTTCTGGTCTTTGTACACAAAGACATTTATTTCTGTGTATATATGTGCATATACATTCACAAAGACAATATCACAGATTGAAAGCAAACCTTTTTTTTTTTTTTAAATAAAAAGTATGCATATGAGTTTGTATGTATATATACCACATGTGTGCCTGATTCCTGAAGAGTCCAGAAGAGGGCATTGGATCTCCTGGAACTGGAGCTACAGGTGGTTGTAAACCACCGTATGGTCCTGGGAATTGAACCACATCACATAATCTGCGAGAGAACCAGTGTTCTTTACCTCTGAACCATCTCTCCAGTCCCAAATAAACCTTTCTCTGGGGTGGGAAGAGGAGGCTGTGTGTGGCAGCTCACACCTTTAGGCCAGCTTGTTCTTCATAGTGTGAATCCTATCTTAAAGGTGTGTGTGTGGCAGGGGGAATGGTAGGAATGCTAACAAGAAGATATATGTGTGCATTCTTTTTTTCAGGTTCTCAGCTGCTTCGGGAGTTGAAAAAGATGGATGATAAAGCCCTTTTGGTGGAAGTGCAGCTTTTAGAAAGCAAAACATATCATGCTCTGAGCAATCTGCCGAAAGCCCGAGCTGCCTTAACCTCTGCTCGGACCACAGCAAATGCCATCTACTGCCCCCCTAAGCTGCAGGCCACTCTGGACATGCAGTCAGGTAACAGGCACAGCTCTGCATAGGATGTACTTCTTGGGGAGGGGTAAGAGGGAGTGAGGCCAGGAGTGGGGCTGAGGCTAGAAAACCATTGGCTGATTTGGCTCAATCTTTCTCAAAGAAACCAATTAGAAAGCTGCCTTTCTACACAGGTTTTTCCTAATAACTGTCTAAAATAATTAAGAAAACAGTTACTAGTGCTGGGTAGAAACCTGCTGTCAGAGGCGTATTAAGGGGCTCTCACTTAATTTACCTCGTAGTCACTAAGAATGGTAGCAGTTTTCTTCCAGACTGGCCCAAGATAGGTATATTAACTAAGTCTGTTAGTCTCTTGGAGACTTTTGGAAGCTTGTAGGATTTTTTTGAAAGGCTGTATATCAGGGATTTTATATCAGGGCTGTTGGAAGGATGTTCTGTCTTTTTGTATACTTGTACCCGTATACAAATTCCTATGTATCTTTCTTGATTCAATTCAGATGCCTCTTCTGTATGCCTTCTTTGTTCATTCTTTGTTTTTCATTTTTTATTTTTTCATTTCTTGTTTTTGATTGTTCCTTTTCTGTTTGTTTGTTTTGAGACAGGGTTTTTCTGTGCTGTGCTGGGCTCGCTTTGTAGACCAGGCTGGCTTCGAACTCACAGTGATCCGCCTGCCTCTACCTCTGAGTGCTGGGTTACAGGCTTGTACCACATCCAGCTTCATTCTTTGTTTTTGACACAGGTTTTCATGTAGCTTTGGAGCTAGACTGGCCTCCAACTCAACGATTCATCTCTGTTGGCTTTCATTTTGTTTTTGAACTAACATATATATGTGTATCTTTAAGATTTATTTTATGAAGGGATGTTTTGCCTGCATTGATGTATGTATACTACATGTGTGCCTGGTGCTCACAGAGGCCAGAGGAGAGGGCATTGGATTCCCTGGAACTGGAGTTGTAGGTGGTTGTCAGTCACTGTGTGGATGTTGGGAACTGACCCCAGGCCCTCTGCAAGAGCAAGTGCTCTCTCGCCCCCAAATCTGTTATTTGTACACACTATCATATTAAGCTCCTTAGGAGCCTTGTCTTTATATTTTCTGTTGGGCCCTTGGGAGGCTCCCTTTAATGTTTCTGTTGAATGACTGGGTTTTTGCTTTTGAAAGTAAATATTCAGGCCAAAAAGACGGCTAAGCAGTTGTTAGTGCATTGGACCGCTCATGACTGCTTTTAGTTCCATCTCTAGGGGGTTTGATGCCCTCTTCTGGTTTTCCTAGGCATATATACAAACACTCAGAAAAATAAATGGAAAAAACAGAAAGTAAACCTATGCCAACAAGAATATTTTTTGCTAATGTTTTCAAGAAAGTACCATATTTGTATTTGAGGCTTTGTCCCGCCTCATATTTTTTTTTTCTTCAAAGATAATGTCCTACAGTGTAATCTGTGCTGGCTTTGGACTTGGACTTGGAGTTCTTCTTCCTCAGGCTCCTGAGGGCTGGGTGTAACTCTGTGGTACCTGGCTCACTTTTTCCCCCTGAACCAGACTTATTTGAGTGATTTATTCTGCCCTATTGATATACTGAGAGATAAGGGGAAATTCTGTTATTCATTGAGCTTGACAGCTTTAGCAGTTTGTTGTGCCCTTTTTTTTTCTCTCCTTGCATGTATATGCACCATATATGTATGGCGCCCACAGAATCTAGAAGAGGGTATTGGATTCCCGGGAACTGGAGTTGCAGATGGTTGTGAGCCGCCATGTGTGTTTTAGGAATTGGACTCAAGTCCTCTGGAAGAGCAGTCAGTGCTTTACTGCTGAGCTGTTGCTCCAGCCCTAGTTTGTTATGTCTTGAGGGAGTTTTCCTTGGCTGTACAGGGGTGCATATTTTCCTATATGCCTCTTTAGTTAAGAACTGTTAATAAAAAGGATTTGACTCTTCTCTCAAGGTGGGAGACTCTGGGTCTCTGGGCATTGTGTCCCTGTTGCTACAGGTGAGCTAAGGGCATGCTAAACTTTTGTCCCGGGGTGGTAGGACTAGGTGGTAAGAGGCACGGGAGAGAGAACACACTGTGAAGGGGTTTTTAGGTTTCCTTTGAATTAGGTTTCTAACTCCTTTGGGAATTTAAAAAGGTGGCTCTGATCAGAATGGCCAGAGAGGCCAGAGGTTTTGATGTCAGCTCTTATGAACTGGCTCTGACTTGGGACAGTTTCTTTGTTTACACTTGAGCTCATTAGTAATTTGATGCTGCTGGGCTCAATTATGGGACTGCCATTTTATATGTTGTTTTGTTTTGTTTTTCTCTTTTCCCTGACCAGGTATTATTCATGCAGCAGAGGAGAAGGACTGGAAAACTGCTTACTCATATTTCTATGAGGCATTTGAAGGCTATGATTCCATTGATAGCCCCAAGGCCATCACATCTTTGAAGTACATGTTGCTGTGCAAAATCATGCTCAACACGTAAGTGTACATTAACTAGAGGATGTAAGAATTCCAGTCTTTCAACCAAATCTGTGCTACAACAGAGATGGCTCAGGCAGGGAGTTTGGCCACTCACAGATGAACTCTAGCTGCAGGCTGTATGTGAGGCTGGCTGATGTTGAGTTGGGTGGTCAGAGGTGGTCTGTTTCACTTTTGCTTGCTAGTCTTTTAGACTTGGGGAGACAGATTTTAGAAATTAAAATTACTTAACTAGGAAATTCTCTTAGAGAATTTTTCACTCTTCACTGTTCTGTCCTCACAGGTATTGAACACAAGGCAGAGTTCAGGAAGTAGCTGATAGGCCTGTGTTAGCCAACTGGCTCCCCAGAATGGGGAGTATGGAGCCAAGTAAATATTTGAAAACTAGATTCCAAAAAAAGATAACTAAGTGGTGCTGGGGACTGAACCCAGAACCTCATGCATGCTAGGTAAACAATATGTCTAACCTAAGTGGTGATTTTTAAGATTTCCTTAATTTTATGTTTTCATTTATTATCATTTATTTATTTTTGAGGTGGATATGGCAAAGGACACAGGATCTCATGCTGTCAAGGCTAGCCTTAACTTTTTTTTTTTTCCTTGGTTTTTGAGGCAGTGTTTCCCTGTGTAGCTTTGTCAGTCCTGGAACTTCCCCTGTAGACCAGATGGCCTCAAACTCACAGAGATCCACCTGCCTCTGCCTCCAGAGTCCTGGGATTAAAGGCATATGCCACCACTGCCCTGCTGCTCTTAACTTGTTAAAAATATATATTTTCGAAATTTACTTTTATATGTGTTCCTCCTGAATGTATGTCTGTGCACCACTTGCATTCCTGGTGTTTAGAGGCCAGAAGAAGGCATCAGATCCCTTGGAACTGGAGTCACAGAGCATCCATGTGGGTGCTGATTGTTGAACCCAGGTCCTTTGCAAGAGCAACAAGTGCTCTTAACCACTGAACAATCTCTCCAGCTCTGAATCGCAACTTTTTCTGTAGATGAGGATGATGTTGAAGGTACATTTCTGCAGTTCTAGTGTTGGGTTCCAGCCATGAGTTACTAGTGCTGGGAAACAGACTCAAGGCTCTGTGTATGGCAGGCGAACACTCTACCAGCTGAGCTATATCCAGCCCCAGGGCTGTGTGTTAAGACCTATTATGCAGAGATTTGACTTAAACTTTATACGCTGCCTGTTGATCATTAAGGGTGGGGTAGGGTATTCAGGTGAACTTTCTCTTTCTTTCTTTCTTTCTTTCTTTCTTTCTTTCTTTCTTTCTTTCTTTCTTTCTTTCTTTCTCTTTCTTTCTTTCTCTCTTTCTCTCTTTCTCCCTTTCTCTCTCTCTCTCTCTCTCTCTCTTTTTGATAGAATCTCAGTCTGTAGACCAAGCTGGCATTGAACTCATTAGAGATCACTTGCCTCTGCCTCCCTAAAGATATGTTACCACGCCCAGCTGTGCTCCCTTTAATTTTGGAAGGTTTTTGCTTTTCACTTGGCCTTAGCCTTGGCGAAGAGTGAAGAAAACATAACTTCTGCAGTGTTGGGACATATGAGTTTAGTTAATTTTTTTTCTTTATGGATGAGTCTTTACAATGGAATTCTGGTAAATAGTTCACCTAAATCTATGATTAGAACTGTATTGTCCTGCAGCAATTGATCAAGTATTTATTTTCTATGTTTATGTTCATTTTTATTCTTATTTTTATTTTTTATTTTATTATTTTTTTGTAGCCCAGAAGATGTCCAGGCTTTGGTGAGCGGAAAGCTTGCACTTCGGTATGCAGGGAGGCAGGTAGGGAATGTGTGACTGCAGTTCTACTCTGAGACCAGCTTGATTGTCAAATTCATGCTGTTTGAAGGGACCGGTGTTCCTCAGGTCTTCATCTTACCTTCCTCACCCCTTGTTCTTTTCCCTTAAGCTCATTCATTGGGCTTTCTTTATTGTTAAGTTTTTGGCCTAGAAAGTCAGTGTTGGGTGCTGTTACAGAGGGACTTACTGTAACTCGAGGGACTTACAGAAATATATTGTAGCATTTGTTGTTAGGTTATAATTTATCTTTGGCCAGATCTTCCTATTGTGAGCCTGGCTTGCAAATACAATCTTTGGAGAATCTGACGTCTTGACTCATCAGATCTGGTTCATAAGAGCTTGCTGGGGGCGGCGGGGAGGTCAGGTTACTTGGTATAAAAACTTACTTTTAAGACTGACCCTTTCTCAGCTTATTATTGTCTGTTCATACTGTGAATTTGGGTGCACTTTAAAAAGAAGCCTCCAGAGCTGGGCACCGTGGTGAACACCTGTAGTCTAGCACTGAGGGAGGCAGAGGCAGGTGGATCTCTATGATGCAAGGCCAGCCTGGTCAACAAAGCAAGTCCAGGACAGCCAGGCCTACCTACACAGAGAAACCCTGTCTCAAAAACAAAACAGGAAGGAAGGAAAGAAGGAAGAAAGGCCTTCAGCGATTGATGTACTTTTTTGTATTTAAGGAGGTATGGATGACTTTTTAGAGCACACAGTTGTAAAGATAATATCTCTGGTGTTTTATCCTGTCCATCTTTGTTCTTTCACTGTCATAGTTAAATAAAAGCAGTCATTCTGAACTTCAAGTATGGTTGTCTTTAAACAGTGAACAGATTAGCTAGCTCCCTAAATCTCTGGATTACTGTCGACAAAAATTGATTTCCTCTTCCTCTGTAAGTGGTCTTAATTTGTTTTTTCTGCAGTAAAAGTTTCAAGTCAGATGATAGTTCTGACTTTGGGAATACTGGCTTTTACTGTATGAACTTTCTCATAAATCCCAGTATTAGGGAGGCAGAAGCAGGCAGGTTCTCTGTTAGTTCTAGGCCAGCCAGAGCTACACAGTAAGACCCTGCCTCAAAACAAAGCAAAACAAACCAATACAACAACCCTCCCCAAAACAAAACAAAATAAAACAAAACAAATAAAAACTAGAGTTGTAGAGTTGGGACAGGAGCTACAAGTATCCAGGAAAAGAAGAGGTAGTTGAGAAGGACAGGTAGATGTAGACTTTGAAGTTATGTTATCTGGCTTTGAGTTCCAGAGTGTCCTCAGTATGACATTTATTCTGTCTGGAGGGCAGATGCTGGGGACAAATTATTCTCCTGTCAGCCTTGTGCCATTTAGTCTGTCACACATACTTACCTTCTTTATTTGTGAGGCTGACACAAAGGAGTTCCCTCTGTTACTTTGTGCCCCAGTGACAGCTTTCAGAAGAAGCCAGGCTGATCTGGAAAGATGGGTGCTGAGTGGAGACTTGATAGTTTGGCAGGTATCTTTTTATAACCTAGTTAGAAGTTTGTCTTGGGCATTGTACATTCGGTTTTGGTGTGCTGTAGGATTTTAATATTCATGTATAATATGTGGACCACTAATGCCTGAACTCCAGTGCAGACCTCACTTAATCAGTGTCTTATATCAAGGAAAACAGAGTGAACCTTGCTAAAGCCCAGGGATATGTGTGAGGGCAAAAAGAATTGGGTGGATATGGAGATAAAGAATCTTGGAGTAAGGAGAAAGAAATCACAGTTCTCTTATTATTTTCTCTTTTAGCTTTTTTCTCTAGAGAATCCTTATCCGGGTCTATCCTTTTGGGAAACTTGTATTTAAGTCACTTCACATTTCAAAGGGAAACTGGTTGGCATACAGTGATATTCAATACTTCTGGCTTTTCTTCCCAGGCCCTTAAAAAGAGTGATGGTGAGGATAGGTTATTGTTTTTATGAGACCTTGGGTATATGTGAACAGACCCTTTCATGAAGTTGTTTTTTATTCTCAGACAGAAGCATTGAAATGTGTGGCTCAAGCTAGCAAGAACAGATCACTGGCAGATTTTGAAAAGGTGAGCATGGTATTGAATTGATGGGGAATGGGTCAAGAAGAGGGTCACTGAAGGAGTTTAAAAAGACAGTTTGAGCTGGACAGTATTTCAGCAGCTGGGAGGTAGATCTCCGAGTTCAGAGCCAGCTGGTGTACAGAGGGAGTTCAGGACAGCCTGGGCTACACAGAGAAACCACATGATGCCTCACAACTGTCTACAATGAGATCTGGTGTCCTCTTTTGGTGTGCAGGTGTACATGCTGACTGAACATTGTTTACATAATAAATAAGTAAATCTTAAAAGTAGGTTGTCATTTGGAACTGGAGAAATGATTCACAGTTTAAGAAAACATCCTGTTCCCAGAGGATCTGAGCTCCATTGCCAGTACTCACATCAGGCAGCTCATAAGGTCCTATCACTCCTGCCCCATGCATGTGCACACACACGGACACACAAGCTAAACAAAAGTTGTTATTCATTGTGTACAATAAAGTTGTACACAATGTGTTTGTATACTTTCCTCCTGTACTTTATGTTACAGGAGGAAGGCCAGACCACACAACTAATCATGTCTCATACCTGTAGCCCTAGTTCTTCCGCACAGAACAGCTACAGGTATCCTCTGTGAACAAAAGAGACTTTTTTCTTTGTGTACATGACTTATTTTTCTGTCTATTATGTAAACAGTATTTTGTTGGTATGCCAGAAGAAGGCACCAGATCTCATTATAGATGGTTGTCAGCCACCATGTGGCTGCTGGAAATTGAACTCAGGACCTCTGGAAGAGCAGCCAGCAGAAGTGCTGTTAATCTGAGCCACATCTCCAGTCCTCACTTTTTAAGATTGAGGCTTGGATATTTTTTTCTGACCTGGTATTCTTTTACTCAGAGTTTAATAATCAACTTAAAAAACAGAGAGTCATAGAAAGCTTCTGTGACAACCCCCCCCAACAAAAACAAAACAAAAAAACAAAACAAAAAAAGGCTTAAGACAGGAAGCCATTGAAGAGAAGTCTTAAAAACTGTGATAAAGGATGGGTGTGGTGGTGCACAGGTTTGATCCTAGCACTCAGAAGGCAGAGGCAGCCAGATCTCTGGGTTGCAGGCTGGCCTGCTCTACACAGAGAGTTCTGGGACAGCCAGAGCTGCACAAAGAAAGCTTGCCTTGAAAGAAATGAAACAGACAAACAAAAATTATGATAAGGAAGCTGAAATGTAGCTCTTCACAGTCAGTGATGGCTTCTGGTAGGGTCGTGGGTTGGAGATGACTCCGTTTTCTTTAAGGGGCTAGCTGCTGGGAGTTTGACCATGCTCTAGGGAGTATAGAGGCAATACAAATTGGACTTGTGTTTTGTTTTTTTTGTTATCCTTTCTTTTTGTGTGTGTGTTTTGGGGTGGGAGTTGTCAAAAGGATCTGGGAGGACTGGGGAATGTGATTGGGGTGTGCATTATGTGAAATTCCCAAATAATCAATAAAAATGTTATGTTGGGAAAACAAAACAAAACGAAACAACCAGACCTAGCCAGTGGTAGTTGTGCGTGCCTGGCAGGTGGATGGCCAGCTTGGTCTGCAGAGCTAGTTCTAGGACAACCAGCCTCTGCCTCCATGGTGCTGGGATTAAAGGCGTGCACCACCATTGCCTGGTTAATTCAGCATTTTTGATTATTTAATCTTAGAGTTCTTTGAAATATATGCTGAAAAAATATGTGTGCAGTTTATTTGGTCTGTTGGTAGAGCATCTCTTGGCTTAAACAATTGAACTTGAGAACAAGAAGGTGGTGGCTCCATGCTTTAGTTCTTCATACTGTTCTTGCTGTCTTTCTTTGTGCTCTCCAGACCATCCATATATAGCAATGGTACATTTAGCAGGGCCAGCAGACACCTCAGGAGGCAAGAGTAGTGACTTTAGAGTGCTGTGCCAGTCTCTGTTATCAGCCTTGTTTTGCAGGCCTTGACAGACTACAGGGCAGAGCTCCGGGACGACCCGATCATCAGCACACATTTGGCCAAGTTATACGATAACTTACTGGAACAGAATCTGATCCGGGTCATTGAACCTTTTTCCCGAGTACAGGTAGGAAGTTTCCTGGGAAACTCTTAACAGTTTTGGGCTAGATGTTACGCTGTAGCCACCGCCTCCAAAATAGGAACTCATTTTTAAGGGTATGTCTGCTGGTAAGGGCTTGGACTTTGTCTTGATGGAAAATGTATCAAGGAGAAGGATGCTGATGGGGTAGAAAGCTGTGAGCTGGCCACCTTGTGTCTTTGTTGTCTTTGGACTTGTGGTAAATTCTGTGTATTTGGTACATGGAATGGGACTGTATTTTGTATAGTGAAGGGCAGGGAAGTAGACAGCAGGAGAACACTAAGCTTGGCTAGGGAGACACTGGCCTCTAGATTGAGCAGTCTCAGAAAACATCATTTTTATATTGGTAATAAATTCAAACTTTCATTGTTGCTGTCTGCTTTTTCTTTTAGATTGAACACATATCTAGCCTCATCAAACTCTCCAAGGTAAGTTCTCAGGCTTGTTAGTGGGTGAGGAAGGGGAAAGGTATGGAGGGGCTGGGTTCTTTGTGGGGAACAGAACTTGGGCTTAGAGCTGGAGTTGTATTGTTGCTATCTGCCTCCAATCCATTTTTTGTAAGAGTCTTTCTTGCAAAACTTTCATGTTAGGCTGATCTCTGACTAATGGATATTGGTCCCTTTAATTATGTACTTTGATTTTAGGCCGACGTGGAAAGAAAATTATCACAGATGATTCTTGACAAGAAGTTTCATGGTAAGTAAATACTTAGATACTTAGAATTTGGAGAGTGTATCTTTAAAGCAGGGGCTGAGTTTCTCTTCTGATGGTTCCTTGGAATCTTGGCTCCATTTGACAATGGGTAAGGGCCTGGAGAGATAGCTCAGCAGTTAAGACACCTAACTGCTCTTGCAGAGCACCCAGATTCAGTTTCCAGCATCTACATATAGCAACTCACAACTGCATGTAACTCTTGTTTCAGGGGATTTGACATTTTCTTCTGGCCTCTGAGGGTTCCTGAATGCATGTGTTCCAAGTATACTCACACAGGCTCATACATATACACATAAATTAAAATAATAAAAGCCCTTTTAAAAAAGGAGATGAGAGTATATAGCAAATATGCGCTGTGAAAAATTGGGAGAAAGTGAGACAACTAGGGAGTGGGATCCTTTTCTAAATTGTCTAATATCTTCTTTTACCTCTTTTGTTCCTGTGTTTCTTGCAGGGATTTTGGACCAGGGGGAGGGTGTCCTGATCATTTTTGATGAACCCCCAGTAGATAAAACTTATGAAGCTGCTCTGGAAACAATTCAGAACATGAGTAAAGTAGTGGACTCCCTCTACAACAAAGCCAAGAAGCTGACATAGGTGAGTGCTGGCCCCGGGACCCAGGGCCGGGCAACGCTGTCTTCTGCCTGGACACTGAACACCACCTGGTCTTGACGTCTTCCCCGATTGACACTGCTCTGTCTTCTCTTGCAGAGTTGGATCTGTAGCGGTCCTTTGGAGAGTGTGTGTGGCGGGAGAGTGAACCCTTGGGGAAATGCTAGGAGATTCTTTTCTTTCTGTTCTACTTTTCGCTCGGAAAGTTTTTAACCCTCATTGGTGCATCTGTATCCAGCGATAGGCAGCCAGTTCTCATGTAATCAGCACTGGCCAACATGGGAGTGGGGAAATTGCTTAAAAAAAAAAAAAAAAGAAAAAGAAAAAAAAAGATTCTAAATAAAAGGAAAAAGGCTTACACTACCTAAAGCTGTGCTCTCTGCCTCCTGGGAGAGGGCCGCAAAGCCAGGCACCCCGCCAACCACTGGGGATCCTCATCCACCTGCTGGGCGCCACCTCTCCTCCTCTTCAGAATTGGGTGTTTGCTGACCATCAAAAGCAACGACTTTTTATTCTGTTTGTACTGAACCAAAACAAACAACTATGTATAGACTGCTGTTTTCTTTTTTATTTGAAACAAGGCGTTTGGTGTTTTTTCCCCTGCCATCTGGCCTGTCCACCCTTCCCTCTCTGACACTGGCTCCAGCATACTAGCTGAAGGGCCTGCTATGCCGCCACCACTGCAGCAGCAGTACATGCACGGCTCTGCTCTGACCTGTGAAAGAATGGGAACAAGTCCAGGAACTAGTGTCCACTACGGCCACATGGGAGCAGTGAGGGCCTGCAGCCCTCAGGGGGCCTGCTGTGCATGTGGCTTTTTTAACACAGTAACTAGAGTAGATGTTTTAACTATTCCTCTCTTCCCCTCTTTGCTTTCCTTTCTCCTCTCTTTCATCTCAGCTATATCCTTTCTCTTCTCTAGAGGAGTTATCTGTCTAAACTCCATCTGCTGCTTCCTTCTCCACCCTTCTTTCCTAATGGATGGATTTTTTTTTAAAACAGTGAATGTTGGGAATAAGACTGGGGTGTTTTTTTTTTTTTAATTAAAAAATGTTAATTTTCCCGTGTTGAGTTTGAAGCACCCTCATGTCTCCTTCCCGGTGTCTTTTTCTGCCTCTTTAGAGTGTGAGTGGACAGGGCGGCGCTGTTTTAGCATGCTTTTTTTTGATGCAGTTCCTAGCAGGCTTTGATGCCATGTGGGCAAGTGAGCGCCTGCGCCTCTCCTGTTCCCACTGTGCTTTCTTCCCTCTCATCCCGTCTTTTCTTTCTTCCTCTCCTTCTGCCTCTCTTCTGCTGGTCTCCTTTTTTTTTTTTTTCCTTAGAACCTTTCTCAGATTATCCTTCCAGGTTTTGGTAATAAATTTCTATTTTGTAAAAGGATTTTGTTGTACCAGGTTTTGCATCTTCACTGAATCTGACTGGCTTTTATTTTCCTCTTGAAAATCAGGTTTTTGTTCTCAACCCTCTCCTCTTCCCATCATGTCCAGTCACTGTTTTGGTTTTGGCACCATCAATATCAAATGTACAAACGGTTCTTGCTGACCAACACCAGGTATATCTGATGTTCAGATGAGTTCCAATAAAATAATTTTTTTTTCAAAAGGCGTCTTTTCTTGAGTGCTGGAGGGTTTCCAAGCAAGTTCTCGTGCGCCATGAGGTCCCTTCTGGCTTCGCCAGAGCTCTGTTACCTTATTGCTTAATGGGAGTCTTGTAGCCATGCTGGGAGTCCATATTTGGAGACCTGCCAGGAAAGTTGACCTGTAAGGAGTGGAGTTAGAAGTCTCCTGGGCCAGGAAGGCAGTGAGGACGTGTGGGGTGGGCAGTACTCTTCTGTTTCCTTATCTCTTTGTCTGTGGGAGGTGATGGGGATGTGAGGCTCTGAAGAAAGGCAGGTGCCAGAATCCCATGTCCAACCTGTGCTTTAGCGCAGTGCTTCTGCAGTCCTCAATAGCAGTTATCTTCTTTTTCTTCTTTCTTATTTATTTGGGGGGAGGGGGAGTTTGTTGGTTTTGGTTTTTTTCAAGAAACCCTGGAGACAGGGTTTCTCTATGTAGCTCTGACTTTCCTGGAAGTTGCTCTGTAGACGAGGCTGGCCTCGAACTCACTAAGTGCTGGGATATATACAGTCTTATGCTTGCATGTATGACGACATGTCAGAAGAGGACACTGGATCTCACTATAGATGGTTGTGAGCTACCCTGTGGTTGCTGGGAATTGAACCCAGGACCTTTGGAAAAACAGCTAGTGCTCTTAACCTCTGTGCCATCTCTCCAGCTCAATAGCAGCTATTTTTATACTGCCCTCAGATCGCAAGAGTGGGTCTTCTGAGGGACAGGGGTCTTTGGGCGAGAGAGACTGCCAAACTCCAGTTTGAGCAGTTTTGCTATCTTCAGTTTGTGTTTCTCTGTATACTTATTTATTTAAAAGTTTTGTTTCTATAAAGTACTTTAAAAATCTCCATAATAATGTGGAGCTGGAGCAGAATGGAGAGGGTTTCCCAGACCTAGGGAAACCCCAAGCAATTCAGGACAGTACCCCTCAGTGTGATGATTTCAAACAAGCAGAGCTGCTGTGTGTGTGGCTGTCAGGTCCCTGAGGTGAGGCTGGTTCAGACTAATCACAAACCATCCTTTAAAGGCTTAGTATGAAAAAGGTATAAAGCACCCCACTAATTTTTATATATGCATTGGGATATTTGGGTCATATTGGGTTAAACAAAATATACTATTAAAACTCGCTTGTTCTTTTTTTAATGTAATTACTAGAAAATAGAACATTAGCCTGATCACTATGGCTCTCGGGTACCTCTGGACTGTACTGTAGTAAGCCATCGTGGGTTCTGCCACGGTTTCCTCTCCCAGGTCTCGCATAGCCTAGCTTTTTCTCCCCACTCCACCCCATAAGATCTGGCCATGGGCTGTCTGGCTGAGTCTGCATCAGTGAGACTGGCTTTGAGAATCGCAGTCTGCTGCGGTGCACTCCTGTGTGCTGGTTACGTAATCTGTGTTGCTGAGAGGAGCCACTAGATGCTGCTCTGTGCCCTCGAAGACTTCCTCAAGAACCAGGGTTCTGTAGTTCTTGGTTGGAACCCTTTCTGCACCATGTAGCCAGCTACTCCTTTGGCCTTCTGTCCTTGAGCCAGCAGAGGATGCGGTGTGTGTAGAGCAGATCTCTCACCCCCCCCTGCAAGGCAGCTAGAGCTAGGCTCCAGAAAAGCAGGCCTGCCGATAGTGAAACTGTGTCTTTGCTGTTGCTGTCTGAATACTGGGAAGGAAACATCCTGCCTCATTCGGCTGGCTCTGCCTTCTGGGCCCTCGATTCTGTCATGTTGGGCAGATTGCTTCCCTTTCTTGTTTTCCTGTTAGAACAGTGAGAGGAGCTGGGTCTGGGGAGGCAGAGCTGGTGTTGAGTGGGTAGGAGGCTGGCCTTGTGGGATGGCTAGTCGTGGTTTTTAGCTTGACTACATCTGGATGGAATTAACTGAAAATAAAAAAAGGCAGGGTATGCCAGTGAGTTGGTTTTTTTTTTTTTTTTTTTTTTTTAATTTGAGGTAGGAAAATCCATTCGTAATCTGGATCTTGAGGTGAGAATACTCAGGTCTTTAATCCAGATCTTGAGTTGGGCCTTTAATCTGCATCTTGAGGCAGAAAACACCTTTAATCTGGGCCATACCTTCTGTTGGAAGCCTACATAAGGACATGGAAGAAGGAAGCCCTTTTTTTTTTTTTTTTTTAAGAAGGAAGCTTTTACGCTTTGCTTGCTCTGTCCTTGCTAGCAAGTCTCTTTCTTCACTGGCATTAGAGCCTACTTCTTTGGGATTCCAGCATCTACCGAAGACCAGCTGAGACAGCCAGCCTTTTTGGACTGAGCAATTTCTGGATTCCTAGACTTTGCCCAACACTGTTGGGAGTTCTGCTACTGTAGAGAACCCTGACTAATAGGCTTACCAGGTGTGACCTAGGTGGGTAGGGTTCCGACAACCTCTTCCCTCAGCATAAGTTGGTAGTGCCATCCTATTTCTGTTCTCCTGGCAACATGAGGCTGGAGTCAAGGTTTCTGAAGGTAATGGGTTGGCTGGACAGAAAACAAGAGAGAACATGCATGCTGCCATGCTGGAAAAGGCCCATGAATTCTAGGATGTAAAAGCTGGAATTGAGTTGCAGGCAGCAGCAGGCCCAGGTTTTTCTAATGGGTAGATTGCAGCCTTCAGAGATCTGTGTATAATTAGGGAAGTAGAACACAGATACCTTTTGCTCAATCCTAGAATTTGAAGGGGACCATGTACATGAAGCCAGTGAAGTGCTGGGTCTCTCAATGGGCTGGTGGAACAAGATTTTCAGCCTTGGAAGACCCTGGGAAGATGACTTACTGTGATGAAGAGCCAGGGCAGCTCTATTTGAAGAGCAGCTAGGGTTGCTGATAGTCTGACCCCTGAGGCTTGATCTCTATGTCAGTATAGAGAAGGCTCTTGGAGAGTTTATTCTGTGGAGCTAGTGTGGTGGGTTATACCTGAATCCCAGCAATGAGCGAAGAAGTTGCCGGCGGCCTGTGCCACAAGGAAAGGTTCTAAGTCATGGAGTTCCTTTGAGCGTGAGGGGTTAACAAAGCTCCTGCTAGTGTGAGTTGTTAGCCAGCGTGGCACCTGCCTTCAATCCTACAAATACTCTCTTCCCTTTCCCGGTGTAAGTAGAAGCCTGCGAGCTCTCCCCAACAGCCAATCTGGACCAGCCTCCAGAATTGTGAGCTAACGCTTCATTATTTTATTTATAGGTTACCCATTGTTGGGTGCTGTGTTCTAGCAATAGAAAGCTGGCTATGACTTGTTCTCTGAGGAACATTGTGAGGAAGGGCCACAGCTAAGCTAGCCTTCCTGCGTGTTTGATGAGGTCCTGGAAAGCGGTTTTTGGTACAGCGCAGTGTGTGTTCTAGTCCGGTCCCCACGGTCCAGAAACCTTTCCTCTTCTATTGGCAGAGAAATCTCTGGGTACATAAACTGGCACTTTTAAAGCCGGAGGTACTTCATCTAATGACTCAAGACTCCTGTTTTGGGTTGTTAGCTCCACTACTGAAGGTGGTGTCAGGAATTCTCTAGGTCTTAGTTAAGATGCCGTTTGGCTTGTTTGGCAGTTTGTGTCTCTAGAACCAGTCCAAAATGAGTGACTAGTAAACCGGCAGTGGCCTTTATGAAGGTTATGGAGGAGTGCTTGAGCTACGGTCAGAATCAGAATTTCCTGCAATTTTACTGTCATCAGGTTTTAAAATGGGCAAATCCGAGGCTGGCCTGAAGGCGCAGCTGCTTCGATTTTGACACAGCAACGGGTGAGAGGCGGCTCCGAGGTGGTGTAGGCTGTGGAGGCCGCCGGCAGCCCGCTGGCTTGGGGGGCCGCGGCTCTCGCTTGCCCGGCGCCGGGGCCAGCTCTCAACGCCGGCGGCCTCCGCTGAGGGGGCCGCGGCGGGAACAAAGGCAGCACGTGTCTGGGCGGGGCCCGCGCTCCGCCCCGCCCGTCCGCCGGGCGAGCTCCGCGGCGCGGCGCCGGCGCTCACGAGGCCGGGCTGCGCAG